TAAATTCTGATGATGATGATGATGATGATGATTATTATTATTATTATTATTATTTATTTATTTATTTATTTATTTATGGAAACAAACATCTGGACATCTAGAGAATATATCAGTTATTACATCAAAGAAATTTTCATGCATTTTTTAAAAATTGATAGCAGTCCCAATGTATTCATTGTATACTGTGTACTTTTTGTACCTGCAGCAGAGAAGTATGTATTTTGAGACTGGCTGTATCCAGAAGACATTTCTTATTTTCACATCAGTTCTGTTCAAGAGGGGCAGATGGCAGTACGAACCATTTAAACCATTTATCACAAACTTCAGTGGACATGCATTTTTCCTTATCCTTAGTGTTAATGGTCATACATATTTCATGTGAATTTAATGGAATCTCTTATTTTGTGAAGAGAGGGGGTGGTGCTGCGAGCTCTGCCTTTGCTGGTACTCAGGTTTCTCCTGTTTATCAGAGGATAAAATGCTTGAGGTCTTTCAGGACCAAAATGATCTCAAATTGTCTCGTATTCTTCCCTAGGGATGATTTTTTTGTTAGTAATAACTTTGGTGTTACATGCCACTTGGCAGGGGCAGTAGCTGACTGGAACTTTGAAGAGACAAGATGCGTCTTAGAAGTTGTTCCTCTCTCTATGGTGTTTGAAACCCTAATCAAAGGTTTTTCAAGCAGCTATCACATCAACAGAGTGCCCCTAGGTAGTGTCATCTGTCTTGAAGAGAAACTATATAAAGCTGCAGCCTGGCACTTAGATAGCAAAGATACAAAATAGGTTATATCTTGGTAGAATTGCCTCTTGTGGGACAGACATAGCTGAAAGGGCACAGAGTGTCAAGGGAAGAATTATATTTAAATGTTCCATTTCATCCATTGTCCAGTGTGGAACTCTTTCTTCGCACGTGTACAGAGAGGAGGGGAAAAAAAAAAAAAAAAGTAGCAGGGCATGCATAAGGAAAGAAAGAGTACTTACTTAAATCACTTAGAAACATTTAGTAAGGAATCACAGGTGGATGCTTCTACTGCTGTGAATGTTGAGACAGATCTGATGGATTCTGCTGTGACAGCTGGTAGAGGTTGCTGTTAGAAGACTCTTTCATCATCACAGATGACCAGGAAAGTGAAATTTGCAGCAGTTAAATGGCAAATCTTCATCACATGAGATACAGAATATAATATAAAACAATTTGTAAAGTGAGATTAATGTTTAAAGTATATTTTTGCTTGCTTACCATGATTACCTAAAGGAAGTAAGAATGCTGTTAATCATGGTTTCTTTCTCTACATGTGCCATGCATATTCATTTGCCTGTGATATTTAACTATTGTACTTTTACTTGTTTGGGTGTCTACTGCACCAAACATTTGTCTCTGCATGACTGACAGACATTAATTTTAAAAGGACTTCTGTTGATTCCACTGAAGCAGGATACAGAGCAGTGGGAGTAGCCTACTTACGGTATGTACAATGCGGTCTAATTTTAACACCTTCTACTGGTTAAATGCAGTACAGTATTTCTTATTTTTTTCACAGAACTAAGCTGATCTAATAAGATACCTGTCCTGAACCTGTGTTGTACAGAGCCAACCCTGGGTTTTAACAAAGCCCTCTCAATTCTGGAATTCAAAGAGATATTGTATGGAGCTACCCAACTGGCTCTGGAAGGAGTTGCTCAAAGGTGAGCAGTTTTCTGCTCTGGTTTAGGAATGGTAGAGACTGATTCCTGCGGGCATATTCATGTGTCTTTGCACTTGCTCTCCCACTCCCTGAACTTGGTATCCGGGTTCTGCTTAGCATAAGTGCATGGAAACAACTTGGATGTAGGACAGTAATTGAACCAATGAGCCCTTCCACAGTGGCAGAGACACCTCCAGCAGTGCTGAAGAAATAAGCATCTACCCAGCCATGAAAGGCTAGCTCTGCAATCACAAGGCCCAGACCAACTGGGAGGAGCAGAAGTGCTGAAAAGGAGTCTGCAACTGTGCAGGCCATTAGTTATCACTGAGCAAGCTCAGTATTTCCACTCAGGCCATCTGGGATTGGTATAGCTCAGCTTCAGTTTCTTGTGCCCCGTATGGAAATCCTTGCCATGTAGGTCCTGCAATTTTTATGTCCTACATTCAGGACTGGTTCAGTGCAGACCCCAGGTGACTCCAAGTGTTTGTACTGTGCTCCACAGCCCCTTTGTTATTGGTCCACATTATCACAGAATCAGAGAATTTCTAGGTTGGAAGAGACCTCCAAGATCATCGAGTCCAACCTCTGACCTAACACTAACAAGTCCTCCACTAAACCATATCCCTAAGCTCTACATCTAAACGTCTTTTAAAGACCTCCAGGGATGATGACTCCACCACTTCCCTGGGCAGCCTGTTCCAATGTCTAACAACCCTTTTGGTAAAGAAGTTCTTCCTAAGATCCAACCTAAAACTCCCCTGGCACAACTTAACCTGTTCCCCCTCATCCTGTCACCAGGCACGTGGGAGAACAGACCAACCCCCACCTCGCTACAGCCTCCTTTAAGGTACCTGTAGAGAGCAATAAGGTCGCCCCGAGCCTCCTCTTCTCCAGGAGGAACAAGCGGCTCCCTCAGCCACTCTTTGTGGGATTTGTTCTCCAGACCCCTCACCAGCTTCATTGCCCTTCTCTGGACTCGCTCAAGCACCTCGATGTCCTTCTTGTAGAGAGGGGCCCAAAACTGAACACAGTACTCGAGGTGCGGCCTCACCAGAGCCGACTACAGGGGGACAATCACTTCCCTAGCCCTGCTGGCCACACTGCTTCTTATACAAGCCAGGATGCTGTTGGCTTTCTCGGCCACCTGAGCACACTGCTGGCTCATATTCAGCCCACTATCCACCAATACTCCCAGGTCCTTCTCTGCCAGGCAGCTTTCCAACCATTCCTCTCCCAGTCTGTAGCTCTGCTTGGGGTTATTGCACCCCAGGTGCAGGACCCGGCACCTGGCCTTGTTGAACTTCATGCAGTTGACCTCAGCCCATCGGTGCAGCCTATCCAGATCCTCCTGCAGAACCTTCCTACCCTCAAGCAGATCGACACAAGCACCTAATTTGGTGTCATCTGTGAACTTACTGAGGGTGCACTCAATGCCCTCATCCAGATCATTGATAAAGATATTAAAGAGGACCGGCCCCAGTACTGAGCCCTGGGGAACACCACTAGTGACCGGCCTCCAACTGGATTTGACGCCATTCACCACGACTCTTTGGGCCCGGCTATCCAGCCAGTCTCTAACTCAACGAAGCATATGCCAGTCCAAGCCAAGTGCAGCCAGTTTCTTGAGGAGAATGCTGTGGGAAACGGTGTCAAAAGCCTTGCTGAAGTCAAGGTAGACCACATCCACAGCCTTTCCCTCGTCTACCAAGCGCATCACTTTGTCATAGAAGGAGATCAGGTTCGTCAAGCAGGACCTGCCTTTCAGAAACCCATGCTGACTGGGCCTGATCGCCTGCTTGCCCTGCAAGTGCTGCGTGATGACTCAAGATAATCTGCTCCATGAGCTTCCCTGGCACTGAGGTCAAACTGACAGGCCTATAGTTTCCCGGGTCTGCCCTCCAGCCCTTCATGTAGATGGGCGTCATGTTTGCTAGCCACCAGTCAACTGGGACATCCCCCGATAGCCAGGACTGCAGATAAATGATGGAAAGCGGCTTGGCCAGCTCCTCTGCCAGTTCTCTCAGTACCCTCGGGTGGATCCCATCCGGCCCCATCGACTTGCGCACATCCAAGTGCCATAGCAGGTCGCTAACCATTTATTCGTGGATAGTGAGGGCCACATCCTGCTCCCCATCCCCTTCCGCCAGCTCAGGGTACTGGGTATCTGGAGAACAACCAGTATTGCCTCTAAAGACTGAGGCAAAGAAGGCATTAAGCACCTCCGCCTTTTCCTCATCTTTTGTAACAAGGTTTCCCCCCGCATCCAGTAAAGGATGGAGATTCTCCTTAATCCTCCGTTTTGCATTGATATATTTGTAAAAAGATTTTTTGTTGTCTTTAACGGCAGTCACCAGATTGAGCTCCAGATGAGCTTTGGCCTTTCTAATTTTGTCCCTTCACTGCTTCGCAACATCCTTGTAGTCCTCCTCAGTGGCCCACCCTCTTTTCCAAAGATTGTAAACCCCCTTTTTTCTCCTAAGCTCAGGCTGCAACTCTCTGTTGAGCCAGGCCGTTCTTCTTCCACACTGGCTCGTCTTTGGGCACGTGGGGACAGACCGCTCCTGCGCCATTAAGATTTCCCTCTTGAAGAGCGCCCAGCCTTCCTGGACTCCTCTGCCCTTCAGAACCGCCTCCCAAGGGACTCTACCAACCAGTGTCCTGAGCAGCTCAAAGTCAGTCCTCCGGAACTCCAGTACAGCGGTTTTACTGGTCCCCTTCCTGGCCTCGCCAAGAATAGAGAACTCCACCATTTCGTGGTCACTCTGCCCAAGACAGCTTCCGACCACCACATATCCCACCAGTCCTTCTCTGTTTGTGAAGAGAAGGTCTAGCGGGGCGCCACCCCTGGTAGGCTCACTAACCAGCTGCATCAGGAAACTACCTTCCACAGAAACCTCCTAGACTGCTTTCTCTGGGCTGTGTTGTGCTTCCAGGATATGTCAGGGAAGTTGAAGTCCCCCATGAGAACAAGCGCCGATGATTTTGCAACTTCTGTCAGTTGCCTGTAGAACTCCTCCTCAGTCTCCTCATCCTGGTTCGGCGGTCTATAACAGACCCCGACCAGGACGCTAGTCTTGTTGGCCTTCCCGCTGGTCCTAACCCAAAGGGACTCAACCTTGCCATTCCCAGCCTTGAGTTCCACAACATTGAAAGATTCTCTAATATAGAGAGCCAAACCACCACCCCTTCTGTGCTGGCTGTCCCTTCTGAAGAGCTTATAGCCAGTCATTGCAGCACTCCAGTCATGAGACTGGTCCTACCACGTCTCCGTGATGGCAACCAAGTCGTAGCCTGCCTGCTGCACGATGGCTTCCAGCTCCTCCTGTTTGTTACCCATGCTGCGTGCATTGGTGTAGATGCACTTCAGCTGGGCCATTGCCTTATCCCCCGGCCTTGCCATTGTTCCCCCTGGCACAGCTCTAACAAGCCTTGAGCGAATGAACGGCTGTGCGAACGGCTGTGTGGTGCTTAGCTGCCAGCTAGGGGAAACCATGACAACAGCAATGTAGTCATGTAACCAAATTGAAGCCAAAACTTTCAGCGCAGTCCTTGACCTGAACAGGGAGTGAGGATCCGTATCCTGGCATTTATACGTGATAGTTTATGTGCAGCCAAAGTAAATATTGCAGTCGGAGGTCATGGCGCTAGATTTTTAAAAGTCCGGCATAAAGAAGAGATCTCAGAAAAGCAAATTTAAGCAACATTAATGTCAAGCAAAGTCTTTCTGATTGCTATATTCTTTATCTGTCGTGACTAGACAGATGAAAATCTATGACGGCAATTCTGCCTTTTAGGTCATTTTCTTTTTTATTTTATTTAAGTTTATTGATCTTATTTCAACAGGCTCTGTACTAATTTTCCTCACAGAATGACTAGCAGAAATATGAGCCTTACGTGCCTTTTGTATTTAATTCATTAGGTCAACTCTAACCACTAAGCCAGGTTATTTCTATTAGCGATAAGGAGCAATTGAACCTTAAACATTGAAACCTAGGTTGATGAGCCTATTCTACAAGGTCTCATGACTCCACACATGTGAAGTGAAATCTGCCAGGTGGGGATCATTTGACCTTTGCTATAAAGGAAGCATGAGGAGTATGGGAAGACTTGCCACTCTAGGGGAGTATGAGGTTCAGGTTACTTAGGGTGCTTTTCTACTGTCCTCGTGAAATGGAATCAGTGTTCCTAAGTAGGCTGCTTTTTCATCGTGTTTTCTACAATCTCTGTGGAATAGTTTGGGACACTCTATGAGCTAGTAACATCGGTGGTGACTACTCAGAATGGGAAAACCCTGGTGGTGCTACTTCCCCATGAAGTTGTTTGGTAGTAAGTAAAATTCAGAAGCTGGCAGGTAAGTGCTCCTGGGTTAAAAATTTGGTATGGGTTGGGGAGCTTGAGAATTTCTTTGACTGTGTCTGTAACAGGGCCCTGAGTCCTCCAATATATTGATGTTATCAAATCTAGCATCCGCTACTAAGACTAAAGAACAATATCACAGATTATCTTCACTCAATCAAATCTGCTTTCCACAGGTAGCAATCATTTATGGCACCAATTTGGTCAGCTAGATGTACAGAACAGGGAAAACCTTAAAACATCTAAGATATTGCTTATCTTCTCAAAACGATGTTGTGATGTGATTAACTCCTGTCCCTCAGGAGACATACAGTATGGTATAATTGCCATGCTCGTGCAGTCTGGTTTGTCAAAGATATAATCGCTTCGTGTTTTTTTTCTGAGTGTATGAAAACACAGCTTCATATAAAAGCCTGCCTCCTGGAAGTGAGATGTAAAAATGAGGTGAAGTTGGTAAAGCATAAAGAAGCTAGATAATGCTTGTCAGTTCTTGTAAAAAATTAGTTCTTATTCTTGAATGCTTACTTTGAAAAGTAAGTATGTGCTGAAAGTTGCATGTTGATCGTTTGATTCTGCAAAGCTATCATATCTGTGTCTGAATTAAGTCCTAGTTGCAAAAGTATGCCTCTGCACTAAGTGGGCAAAGACAGCGTAGAAGAGAATAAAGGGGATTTGTCTGATTTTATTTTTTACATATTTTTTTTGTTAGTAACTGTGGACCTTGTTTTTTTATTATTATTTCTTTTTTTTGTTCCATTTCCAGCTTGGATTTCTTGAATGCTTCTCACGTTCAGCCATGGGGGATAAGCAAAACACAGGTACTGAGAAAGCGTATTTACACTAAGATTTAGGATTTGTCTCTCCTATCTTAAATTGAGGTTCATAACGAACTATTTTAGGTTTAATGCCTTTAGGTTCTCATCCTCAGGCATATATCTTAAGAGTGCATGGCATAGATCAGATGCATGCCACTGTACCAGTGCCTTATTTCTCTCTGATAAAAATACACGCTAAAAGTCTCTGTGGAAATTTAAAATTAAGTTGCCGTTTACAAAGAGGGGTTTATATTGACTTGATTGCATTTAAGACTATCGCTGGTCGACTTAAAACTACCTCCTAGTGGACATGTAGCTTTTAGATAACTTTTAATTCTTATTTTTTAATTTCAAGGAAAAAAGGATGGGTAATTAGATTTTCGAATCAAGGCAGTACTATTCCACATACCTACAGGCATCTTTGGAACTTGGGGTTTTTAAAGTTTCTGTCATGTGATCAAGGATAACAGATCCTTTAGTCCTCCAGGGCCCCTTTAGTCCTCCAGGGCCCCTTTAGTCCTCCAGGGCCCCTTTAGTCCTCCAGGGCCCCTTTAGTCCTCCAGGGCCCCTTTAGTCCTCCAGGGCCCCTTTAGTCCTCCAGGGCCCCTTTAGTCCTCCAGGGCCCCTTTAGTCCTCCAGGGCCCCTTTAGTCCTCCAGGGCCCCTTTAGTCCTCCAGGGCCCCTTTAGTCCTCCAGGGCCCTTTAGTCCTCCAGGGCCCCTTTAGTCCTCCAGGGCCCTTTAGTCCTCCAGGGCCCCTTTAGTCCTCCAGGGCCCCTTTAGTCCTCCAGGGCCCCTTTAGTCCTCCAGGGCCCCTTTAGTCCTCCAGGGCCCCTTTAGTCCTCCAGGGCCCCTTTAGTCCTCCAGGGCCCCTTTAGTCCTCCAGGGCCCCTTTAGTCCTCCAGGGCCCCTTTAGTCCTCCAGGGCCCCTTTAGTCCTCCAGGGCCCCTTTAGTCCTCCAGGGCCCCTTTAGTCCTCCAGGGCCCCTTTAGTCCTCCAGGGCCCCTTTAGTCCTCCAGGGCCCCTTTAGTCCTCCAGGGCCCCTTTAGTCCTCCAGGGCCCCTTTAGTCCTCCAGGGCCCCTTTAGTCCTCCAGGGCCCCTTTAGTCCTCCAGGGCCCCTTTAGTCCTCCAGGGCCCCTTTAGTCCTCCAGGGCCCCTTTAGTCCTCCAGGGCCCCTTTAGTCCTCCAGGGCCCCTTTAGTCCTCCAGGGCCCCTTTAGTCCTCCAGGGCCCCTTTAGTCCTCCAGGGCCCCTTTAGTCCTCCAGGGCCCCTTTAGTCCTCCAGGGCCCCTTTAGTCCTCCAGGGCCCCTTTAGTCCTCCAGGGCCCTTTAGTCCTCCAGGGCCCCTTTAGTCCTCCAGGGCCCCTTTAGTCCTCCAGGGCCCCTTTAGTCCTCCAGGGCCCCTTTAGTCCTCCAGGGCCCCTTTAGTCCTCCAGGGCCCCTTTAGTCCTCCAGGGCCCCTTTAGTCCTCCAGGGCCCCTTTAGTCCTCCAGGGCCCCTTTAGTCCTCCAGGGCCCCTTTAGTCCTCCAGGGCCCCTTTAGTCCTCCAGGGGCCCCTTTAGTCCTCCAGGGCCCTTTAGTCCTCCAGGGCCCCTTTAGTCCTCCAGGGCCCTTTAGTCCTCCAGGGCCCCTTAGTCCTCCAGGGCCCCTTTAGTCCTCCAGGGCCCCTTTAGTCCTCCAGGGCCCCTTTAGTCCTCCAGGGCCCCTTTAGTCCTCCAGGGGCCCCTTTAGTCCTCCAGGGCCCCTTTAGTCCTCCAGGGCCCCTTTAGTCCTCCAGGGCCCCTTTAGTCCTCCAGGGCCCCTTTAGTCCTCCAGGGCCCCTTTAGTCCTCCAGGGCCCCTTTAGTCCTCCAGGGCCCCTTTAGTCCTCCAGGGCCCCTTTAGTCCTCCAGGGCCCCTTTAGTCCTCCAGGGCCCCTTTAGGTCCTCCAGGGCCCCTTTAGTCCTCCAGGGCCCCTTTAGTCCTCCAGGGCCCCTTTAGTCCTCCAGGGCCCCTTTAGTCCTCCAGGGGCCCCTTTAGTCCTCCAGGGCCCCTTTAGTCCTCCAGGGCCCCTTTAGTCCTCCAGGGCCCCTTTAGTCCTCCAGGGCCCCTTTAGTCCTCCAGGGCCCCTTTAGTCCTCCAGGGCCCCTTTAGTCCTCCAGGGCCCCTTTAGTCCTCCAGGGCCCCTTTAGTCCTCCAGGGCCCCTTTAGTCCTCCAGGGCCCCTTTAGTCCTCCAGGGCCCCTTTAGTCCTCCAGGGCCCCTTTAGTCCTCCAGGGCCCCTTTAGTCCTCCAGGGCCCCTTTAGTCCTCCAGGGCCCCTTTAGTCCTCCAGGGCCCCTTTAGTCCTCCAGGGCCCCTTAGTCCTCCAGGGCCCCTTTAGTCCTCCAGGGCCCCTTTAGTCCTCCAGGGCCCCTTTAGTCCTCCAGGGCCCCTTTAGTCCTCCAGGGCCCCTTTAGTCCTCCAGGGCCCCTTTAGTCCTCCAGGGCCCCTTTAGTCCTCCAGGGCCCCTTTAGTCCTCCAGGGCCCCTTTAGTCCTCCAGGGCCCCTTTAGTCCTCCAGGGCCCCTTTAGTCCTCCAGGGCCCCTTTAGTCCTCCAGGGCCCCTTTAGTCCTCCAGGGCCCCTTTAGTCCTCCAGGGCCCCTTTAGTCCTCCAGGGCCCCTTTAGTCCTCCAGGGCCCCTTTAGTCCTCCAGGGCCCCTTTAGTCCTCCAGGGCCCCTTTAGTCCTCCAGGGCCCCTTTAGTCCTCCAGGGCCCCTTTAGTCCTCCAGGGCCCCTTTAGTCCTCCAGGGCCCCTTTAGTCCTCCAGGGCCCCTTTAGTCCTCCAGGGCCCCTTTAGTCCTCCAGGGCCCCTTTAGTCCTCCAGGGCCCCTTTAGTCCTCCAGGGCCCCTTTAGTCCTCCAGGGCCCCTTTAGTCCTCCAGGGCCCCTTTAGTCCTCCAGGGCCCCTTTAGTCCTCCAGGGCCCCTTTAGTCCTCCAGGGCCCCTTTAGTCCTCCAGGGCCCCTTTAGTCCTCCAGGGCCCCTTTAGTCCTCCAGGGCCCCTTTAGTCCTCCAGGGCCCCTTTAGTCCTCCAGGGCCCCTTTAGTCCTCCAGGGCCCCTTTAGTCCTCCAGGGCCCCTTTAGTCCTCCAGGGCCCCTTTAGTCCTCCAGGGCCCCTTTAGTCCTCCAGGGCCCCTTTAGTCCTCCAGGGCCCCTTTAGTCCTCCAGGGCCCCTTTAGTCCTCCAGGGCCCCTTTAGTCCTCCAGGGCCCCTTTAGTCCTCCAGGGCCCCTTTAGTCCTCCAGGGCCCCTTTAGTCCTCCAGGGCCCCTTTAGTCCTCCAGGGCCCCTTTAGTCCTCCAGGGCCCCTTTAGTCCTCCAGGGCCCCTTTAGTCCTCCAGGGCCCTTTAGTCCTCCAGGGCCCCTTTAGTCCTCCAGGGCCCCTTTAGTCCTCCAGGGCCCCTTTAGTCCTCCAGGGCCCCTTTAGTCCTCCAGGGCCCCTTTAGTCCTCCAGGGCCCCTTTAGTCCTCCAGGGCCCCTTTAGTCCTCCAGGGCCCCTTTAGTCCTCCAGGGCCCCTTTAGTCCTCCAGGGCCCCTTTAGTCCTCCAGGGCCCCTTTAGTCCTCCAGGGCCCCTTTAGTCCTCCAGGGCCCCTTTAGTCCTCCAGGGCCCCTTTAGTCCTCCAGGGCCCCTTTAGTCCTCCAGGGCCCCTTTAGTCCTCCAGGGCCCCTTTAGTCCTCCAGGGCCCCTTTAGTCCTCCAGGGCCCCTTTAGTCCTCCAGGGCCCCTTTAGTCCTCCAGGGCCCCTTTAGTCCTCCAGGGCCCCTTTAGTCCTCCAGGGCCCCTTTAGTCCTCCAGGGCCCCTTTAGTCCTCCAGGGCCCCTTTAGTCCTCCAGGGCCCTTTAGTCCTCCAGGGCCCCTTTAGTCCTCCAGGGCCCCTTTAGTCCTCCAGGGCCCCTTTAGTCCTCCAGGGCCCCTTTAGTCCTCCAGGGCCCCTTTAGTCCTCCAGGGCCCCTTTAGTCCTCCAGGGCCCCTTTAGTCCTCCAGGGCCCCTTTAGTCCTCCAGGGCCCCTTTAGTCCTCCAGGGCCCCTTTAGTCCTCCAGGGCCCCTTTAGTCCTCCAGGGCCCCTTAGTCCTCCAGGGCCCCTTTAGTCCTCCAGGGCCCCTTTAGTCCTCCAGGGCCCCTTTAGTCCTCCAGGGCCCCTTTAGTCCTCCAGGGCCCCTTTAGTCCTCCAGGGCCCCTTTAGGTCCTCCAGGGCCCCTTTAGTCCTCCAGGGCCCCTTTAGTCCTCCAGGGCCCCTTTAGTCCTCCAGGGCCCCTTTAGTCCTCCAGGCCCCTTTAGTCCTCCAGGGCCCCTTAGTCCTCCAGGGCCCCTTTAGTCCTCCAGGGCCCCTTTAGTCCTCCAGGGCCCCTTTAGTCCTCCAGGGCCCTTTAGTCCTCCAGGGCCCCTTTAGTCCTCCAGGGCCCCTTTAGTCCTCCAGGGCCCCTTTAGTCCTCCAGGGCCCCTTTAGTCCTCCAGGGCCCCTTTAGTCCTCCAGGGCCCCTTTAGTCCTCCAGGGCCCCTTTAGTCCTCCAGGGCCCCTTTAGTCCTCCAGGGCCCCTTAGTCCTCCAGGGCCCCTTTAGTCCTCCAGGGCCCCTTTAGTCCTCCAGGGCCCCTTTAGTCCTCCAGGGCCCCTTTAGTCCTCCAGGGCCCCTTTAGTCCTCCAGGGCCCCTTTAGTCCTCCAGGGCCCCTTTAGTCCTCCAGGGCCCCTTTAGTCCTCCAGGGCCCCTTTAGTCCTCCAGGGCCCCTTTAGTCCTCCAGGGCCCCTTTAGTCCTCCAGGGCCCCTTTAGTCCTCCAGGGCCCCTTTAGTCCTCCAGGGCCCCTTTAGTCCTCCAGGGCCCCTTTAGTCCTCCAGGGCCCCTTTAGTCCTCCAGGGCCCCTTTAGTCCTCCAGGGCCCCTTTAGTCCTCCAGGGCCCCTTTAGTCCTCCAGGGCCCCTTTAGTCCTCCAGGGCCCCTTTAGTCCTCCAGGGCCCCTTTAGTCCTCCAGGGCCCCTTTAGTCCTCCAGGGC